AGCTGCAGAAGTGAGGACAAAGTCAGATTTCAGGAGTCACAAACACCCAATAACCTTGCACCTGTTCAGGGACACACATGCATCCATGGACAGCACACCTTGACTTTTTGCCTAGATGAATGTTTATCAGTTTCACAATCTTCCTCATTTGAAAAGGCATGCAGCCATGTAATGAAAAGCCCCCTGGAATGATGCCATTTACTATCCCTGATCCGGATAATCCTTTCAGAACAAAAAGAGACCAGCACTTGTAAGCCCATAGTTAAGGGCACTAAACACAAAACGGATTAAATAAACTAGAGTCAGTGTTGAGGCTAAAAACAGCAGTGTTGTTTTACGCTAAATTATCATTGGTAACTAGAGTCGCATTCCTATTGGTTTAAGTACAAGTAAGTCATGGCAGCTATCACGACCTCCCCCCCCCATTTACTAAACTGCACAACCTCAACTCCCCATCTCGCGTGTTTGTTGCTCCTATGATGAAGCGAAGAAGAGACATGAGAGTATTAAAGTACGAAGCAAGATAACCTGTCATTTAGAAGCTATAACAGTTCAGTATGACATGTAACACCACTTCATTCCAAGTAGTGTCTTTATAGTCCACTTTTGGCTCAGGTGTAACAATGCTCTTGGTGTGTTTTATAAGGCCACTTTACATTCACAACATGATACAGCATCTCTTTATTCACAGAAACCTGAGCTTAGGTTACGCACAAATTTCCCCGCTGGGGGATCTATGAAGTTCAAATCAAAGGGCAGAAGATTGATAATCTAAATGAAAGATGTGAATGAGAAGGATATGCTGTTAAGGAGCCCCCCTTCCCTCACAGTCCGTAGGTTTCTTTGTATTGAAGGTAGAAATACTTCTGTGCATCCTCGATAGTGCAGATTTATTTTAGGATGAGACGCACATGAAATGCTTACCCTACTGAGATGGATTCCAGATATCAGAGAGTGGAGGATAGACCCCGCCCAACACTCCAATTTAAAAGAAGATAAAAGATGATCATTGTGGCACAGCCATTATAATTTTTTAAACCCTGTCATAATTTTTTTATTTTTAAATATGGGAGAGATACAAAAGCCAACTTTAAAATTACTTCCTAGGACCAACGCTTTTCCTAGCCAAGATTTAGCCATTAGGTGGTGCTTGAAGTTGCTAGAAAGCTTATGAAGCCAATTAAACCTGTTGACAGGTTTCATTATACTTAAATTATGTGGGTAAACTTATTGAGCCATTACAAATATTTCCTAAGGACAACACACACATTTAATTACTTTTATTGGATGGAAGCATTTCCAAGGACAGAACAAAAACATTTATTAGCAGTAGTGGATCTCCTGCAACATTCTAGTGTCCAAAATGATTGAACCCTCCGAACCCCTGACCAACTCTGTCGTAAAAGTTATTTAGTAATAAGCATTTATTCCCCCCCCCCCCCCTTTTTTTTTAAGAGGAATCACTTTTAAAGAATTCATTGCAGGCGACAGTCAGTGCAGCGACCAGACCAACAAACTCCTGGAAGTCCACCACACCATCCTTATTGTCATCCAGTTCACGCATAATCTTCTCCACCACACAAGCATCATTGGGGCCCTAAAAGGGGAGCAACAAGTTTAGTTTCCCCAAGTGCAAATCTTAATGATGGAGCTGGTCGTCTTTAATTTGCATAGTCTGGAAATAACTTCTACTTTAGACAGAAGCATGTTCTCCTCATTTGCCCAGGTATCAACTTGTTGGCCAACATTATAGAGTTAAAAAAAAAAAAAAAAAGCAAATAAAATACTTTTTCCTCAAAATATAGCGGAAACTGAGAAACCATCAGGTTCTTTTGGAAATTACCATGGTGATTTACCTTTGTTAAAACTTAAAATACATTAAAATTATACATTATTCAGGTCAGCTTCAGAAGGGGAAAAAAAATTGATTAAGCAACAGATACGTACTTCCAGAAACTCTCCAAGTTCATTCTTCAACAAATTCTTCAGCTCCAATTTAGTGAGCGTGTACTTGTCACCTTCTTTTCCAGAATACTTGTGGAACACATCAATGAGGTCCACCATTGCTCCTTTGAGATTGGCACTCATTTTGCAGTTCTAAAAATCAGAAGAGGGAAGCATAAATTAACCACAAAAGAGATTATTCCAAACATGGAATATACCATTTAGATTTAGAGCAGGGAGGACCAGCATCATTTGATATACAGATACAAAGAGGGACTAAAAGTCATTCAGTTTCTAGAAAAGCTTAAGAGAAACCTTTCACTACAATTGTTTTAATACACTGGCACTCAGATTGGGATGATTCTAGCAAAACCAAATTAGAAAAGGAATGAGGATGCAAAACTGTTTCACACACTTACCATGTAATCATAGAAAAACTCAGGTTACATGACGGTGTTTCACTTCCCTCCCTGCATTTTTATTTCTCAATGACAGAAAGATTGGCGCTGATGGTGGTATGGACATTTTTTGGCAGAGCATGGCTTACGGTTATTTGTACAGTGGACTATAGCCAGAATCAGATTACATTTTGTAGATTAAAGGGCAAGTACTCAAACCAGTAGCAAGCTGGACTCACTGAGTAGCCCCCCCACACACCACACACACACACACACACTTCTCAAGACATTTAAATAATTATTAAAAACAAAACAAGGTAAAACACACGCGATGAGGGACCACTTCTTGGTTAGGCGTGTTGATTCTATATAATATGGCACTGCCGGGGAAGCATGTTGTCTCATGAAACAAATAGATTTCAATTGCTGAAGCCTGCTAATAATGGTGCCAAACAGAATACATAGAGGAGAATGCAGCATGGTAACCAGACAGGTCTAGTGTCTAACCTTATACCAGCCTTTCACTATCAGACACCTGAGAAGCCTATACAAGAGAGCAGTTTCATTTCACACACCCCTCCTAACAAACCAGTAGAAGACAAAAGCCAGACCCCCTCCAGGACAGGTCGCACATACAGTAAGATAAGTATAGATTTCGCTCTTGGTTGCATTACATTATATAAATAGCCTTTAACCTCAGATTAATTTTAGAGTATGGTCTTATTTCCATCAAAGCTATTAGATGATAGTTTAGCCTATATGAAGAGCAACATGTATCTAATGATCTATAGTGTATGTGAGAGATTGTGTGAATATCTACAGTTTGCAAAATCACTTCTCCAAATGATGTGGCATCAGATTCCCCTAATTATTCTCAATGATTGCTGTTAATCATTTATTCCCAGCGTGATCAGGGAGCTAATTAAGTCTTTGAATGTCAAATGAGAAGCTGGTGTTAATTAACTGTGACTCCAACTACAGCACAAGTAGTTCTACAAAAAAAAAATAAAAATCCTTCACACTACCACTGCACATCAAAACAATGGAGGGAAAAAGAAAAGCAAAAGATCAGTAACTCACCTGGACAGTGACACCTAACCGGTTCTGTTGAAAGTAGATCAAATTGAGCTCTCACCACAGCTCTCACCTCATTACTTATAGCGACTCTCACCTGTGTGCAAATGAACCTTAATCAGATAGGCACCTCCCTCTGAACGGCATCATCAGCGCTTTCACCATTGAACTGGATTGCCATTAAAGGCAACAACCTCAGCTCTTAGAACTTTGCAGGACAAACACCACTCACTCTTTTTCCTAACCTTATATAGTTATGTTGCAACAGGGATTAGTTACAAATTAAGTAGATACTCAGATGGTTAGTGAGGGTACATGTGTTTATATGTAATTCAGGGTATGCTACATTATATATACCAGTTATGTATTAATGTTGCATTAGAAGCACAAATATTACTCGAGTGCAACTTGAAAAATCTATAGAAAAGGTTTTTCAATTTCCATTTTAAAGTGCCTACAAATATCCCTGATTTCAGCCTAAAAGCTGAAAATTTGTTAATCTGAAACAACCAAAATTAAAATCAGCAACATAAAGAATAAAGCAAATTGGCTGAAGTATTCCTCCTCTTTTCCTCTCCGAGGTCTTGTGTAAGCTTATCAAGCATGACTAATCTAATGCTTTTTAAATATCATTTGCAAGTCAGATATTGATTGTATTTGAATGACAGCTCGACTTTTGCAGAAATACAAATTAAATGCGGGTCAGGTTGTTAAGAGTTGATTTGCATCAGTATCTCCTGGTAGCCTGTGTAATGCCAATGCTTTTTGCATGCTAGTTAAAAATTTACCAAACCGACTTGCATTTGGTATCTACAGCAACAGTTTTTAAAAAAATGTCCTCTCTGGTCTGAGACAGCAGGTGAGACCAGACTGGCCTTTTATTTTTGGTGTGAGGAACATACTTGGAGATTAAACACTCTGTGTTTCGTGTGGGGGAATAAAACCATCCATTGTCGATTACTCATGAAAGCTGTTCTAAAAAATGTGCCTATAGTGATCACTCTTTTGCCAAATGAAACTAAATATGTTTTTATTCATTCCATTCATTTCAACATCTGCACAGTATGAATTATGAATGACCAGCATTATACAAGACATTAAAATAAGGCACTGCATTATTTTAGAGAATGTATAATATGACTCTTCATGAAAAACAAACATGTCCTTCATTTGCGGTTTAATACAAAAACACTTGAAGTCTATAGACTGCATGTTAACATTACTTATACACATATGCAGAGGGAAGTAAAATATATGAGCTTACTCCCAGTTAAAAAAAAACTGGTAAATGGGTGCACATCACACCTTAGCTTTGTGGTGTCACATTTCTGCCTAAGTTCAAGGGTGTCATCTACTGGCCATTTTCAAACTTTGTTATTGCCCACATATGTAAGTAAGCAAGGCTGCACACTTACCATTAATAGCAAAACCCATATCAGTTAAGTTATTTTTAAAATAAAAGTTAAATTAATTAAAAAAAAACAGTTTTAAAAAAGTTAAATTTAAAATGGCCCAACATGAATCAAGTCAGAGCACAGCAAAAAGAAATAACGCTGCTTTTTTTTTTTTTTTTTATCAAAGTATTACATTACTGAATCCAAATGATTGAAAATAGTAGTAAGGTAGACATAATGACTCAATATTTAGAACAAAAACCTTCCATCACAAACAATATGTAACAAACGTACATTCACATTTATCAACTGGCAAAACCATTTTTGTCATTTTTTCTTAATCATACAACAGCTTTTATTTTATTTAAAGCATGTGTAAAGACAACTAAATCTAACTTCATTCAGGCACTGGACATGTATCTGCTATCTGTCTGTATAACTCATTCTAATTCCCTTAGTTATATTATACCTGGTGACAATGATAACACTGAAAACTGAACAGATATTTGATAAACATTAACTATTATATGAAACAGTGATTCATAGAGGACCCATTGAAAGTATGACATGTGTCAAGTGAGCAATGTCTGTGAGTGTGCTTTTGCAATGTATGCCAACAGCAAAGCTAATAGTAACTCATGAGGGATGGCTTTAGGAATAAACAAACAGCAAGCACACAAGTTCAGACTGACATTTGGCAGTAACTTAAATTGGTGACTACCTGTGTGCAGTATTCACTAAAATAGGAATAGTATTCAGCTTGAAACACATTGAATATTGCACCGAAAACTTCAAAATGACTAGTGCTGATACAAACACTGATTGATGGAGCATTATCATTCTCCAGTTTCTAAGCTTTTGCTCTACAACTTGATATCGCTTGTATTGTTACTATATGGTTTCATTTGACTCGGCTTGATCTGAGTTTGAACATTCATGATCTCATACCTCTGAGGGCCAAGAATGTAAGAGTGCACAGTCCTTTCACAGTGTGGCACCTGTCACCATGGTTTGCTGGGACCTTGCTTGTTATCCAGAGTGCAACATGGGAGATCTCATGTGAGCCGGCCTTTCAGCGCCTGTCAGCAGGGCACCTGGCCTGAGACACTGAGGGAAAGTGAAGCAGAGGCCATCAGCTCAGCTGTCAGGGATGACATGACAGACTGCCTTGGGCAGACAGATTGTTGGGCAGGGGTTGTTTGTTTTTCTTTGTTATCACAATGAGATGCTGTATTTTGCTCCCTTGTTGGCATAGCCTAAACAAAAAGGTTACTTGAGGGGAGGTCTTTACTGAGAAAATACTGAGAAAGGCATTTGTTTAATAGTTCTTTTTAATTTAATGGCTAAAATGCCACCAGTGGTATTTGATTTAATGGCTCTTCATTTGCTTCGTTTGTGGGTTCTGCTTCTTTTTCCACAGTCATCTTATCTTCTTCTGGCACCCTTTCCTCAATAGGGGGACCAATCACAGATATTCTTCCCGCAGATAGGGTTCTTCTCTTAACACTGTTTGCCCGCTCTTGGGTTGTTGGCTTTCCCAGGACACTCCTCAGCTGTGCCCAGAAAAATGCCTGTTGGTTAACCTGCTGGGGCCACTCCAGGTATGTCTTTGTACTCAGCATCTTCTTGAGCTTGCAATACTTGCTGGGTAAGGAGTTTGGATCAATAGGCTCCTTAACCACTAAGATGACATCACTGAAGGTTTTTCCCATTGCTCTCTGCTGAGCAAAGTACAGCTCATAGTTGCACCACTCACTGTTAACGAAGTGCCGTGAGAGAATAAACATTACCTAGGAATAAAGAAAACAACAGAAAGGAAATTATTATAGGGTCTCTACCTTATGCTTTCCTACCAATTTCCAAACAACAATGATGAGATGCTGAATAACAGGGCAACTATATTCATCAACCATTTAGCATAACTCATATCACCATTACTTACTTTTTTAGACTTTTAAGACTCGTTATTCCAACAGTCAACAAATTGTCAGGCAAGTTTTGAGATGATGTTTTCATCATTTATAATTGCAATGTAGTTTAAAAAATGAGAAGTGCCAAGGAGAAGTGGCATCTACTGAACCAGGTGACTATAAGCTATTTTGTTTTGCCTTTGAATGAACAAAATTATGTGAAAATGACACACACTTCCACTGAGTGACGTTGCCATAGATCAACTGACTAAAACTGTAGCTCCTAAAAAAAATGTCCAAAATAATTAGGTTTTGCTGTGTGTTGTTTCTCATTTTGCAAGACTTTAATTTACTGTAACTTTTAATGTGCTGGTGTATAGTGGGGTGCTTTTACTACATAATACATTTTAGTACCTTACGACTGCTTTCAATATTCTCAATGATGTTATCAATGATCCACTTTCCAGGCATGAAGTCCCTCTCATGAATGCATAGACGATAGGGGTTCGTGTTGTTCTCCAAACAGGGTAAGAGCTGGTGCCTCACCCAGTCAGCATCTGAGTGACTGTAGGATATGAAGGCATGGTAGGTAAAAGTTTCCAGATCACCAGCTGCTTTCTCCTTGTGAGCTCTGTATTTAGCCCTGATGATCTGGTATGTTGCTTTAGTGTACCATGGGAGGTCAAAAATATAGCAAATCAGCATAAGTATTAAGATCACTGCTGTGGTGGTTGCAACACAGATGATGATAACCAGTCTGATGTCACATGCTACATGACCCGGAAAGTATTTGGCTATGACTGTGTTGAGCAAAGCCTCCGGGTGGTAACACTTGTAGTTCTCAGGCCAGTTTGTGAGGTTTACCTTTCCTTTTGAAATCGTGTCCTGGATGAAAGCATGAAGCTCACATGTACAATGATAAGGATTGTTCCCTGCCTGAAGTTGAGACAACTGAGGCATATCTTCAAAGGATTTTTTGCTAATTAGGCCAAATGAATTCCCATCCAAAGCTAGCGATTGCAGTGATGCACTTTCCCATTTAGATGGGATGAATTTAATTTTATTCCCACTCAGTAGAAGGGTTTTGAGGTTGGTGGTTTTCTCAAAGTAGTTCATGTCCAGCTGGTCCAGATCACAGTAGGACAGATCCAAGTACTGTACTGTGGTTGGTAGACAACTGAGAGCTTCACTTACAAAGTTATTATGGTGAGCAATAAACTTGGTGATATTTTGTTTCCAGACACAATTTTGGCTATCTTTAGCAGATCCTAATTTGTTGTAGCTGAAATCCAAAACCTTTAGCTCCTGGAATTCTTTTGTGAGGGATGATAAGTCTTTTAAGCTGGTCAACTCATTGTTGCTTGTGTTGAATGTATGAAGATTCGGCATGGTGTTCTTGTAATCGCATCGCTGGTTGAATACAAACTCATTTTTTAGTCGATTATTGGAGACATCTAGTAATTCCACACCGTTCATCTCAACCCACGAATCGCAGGGTGCCGAGTTGAAATACACATGTTGAATAGACAGTTGCTTAACTTTCTTGAACCAGGTGAAACGCCAATCAAATCGTAGCACATCAGGATTGCTGATGTACCTACAAGAAACAGAGATATTTAGTTTGCGTATTTTTATATGACCTTAGTAGTGAGCTTCACATTCATGTAATTTCACTTTGTAACAAGGTATGAATTATAACTATAACAAAATACTTGTCAAACCCACTATTTCATAGCATCATCTTCTTGTGCAGCTCTACCGTATTTAGTGCAGCTGCTGTTTTTGGATCATTAATTAAAAGCCCTGGTATGTTCCTTTATAGTCATGCCCTATGTTGCGCTGCACAACCTTGTGACTAAAATTGCTTGTTTAAGTATAACCATAATTTACAAGATGAAAATCACAAAATCACATTTTACGGTCCATTAGAATAGAATAGAATTCAACTTTATTGTCATTGCACATGTCACACGTACAAGGCAACGAAATGCAGTTTGCATTCATCCAGAAAGTGCTTAGTAATAAAATACATATATTACAAAAATGGGTCTATTATGGGTATGTTGCAATGTACACGGTATGAAGGTATGTTATGAATATGCTATAACTATAAGTATGTACAGGCTGTAGTGAGTGTACAAGCTATGTACAGGCTACGAACAGGATATAAATATGAAACTATACAGAAATATGAACTATACAAGTTATAAACAGTTGTAAATAGTTGTAGAACTATAGTTATTATTGTACAGAATTATGCAGTAGTGCAGTTTAGATCAGTGAGATGTGTAAACTACTGTTAGAGCAATCTTGTAGGACACCAAAATACTCACCAAAGATCCAGTTTATCCAGTACAAGATCTGTGATGCTGGAACTTGCACCACTATCAACAAATGTTGGCGAACGGGCAAAGTCAATGTACTGAAGTCTTAATCTTTTGATGCTGGTTGCTTGTAAATTGATTAAAGCCATCCTTATAAGGTTCTCATTGAATTTTCCTCTGTGAAAGATGAGTTGCTTGGCTTTAATGTGTTTTAAACCCTGAAAAATGTCCTCCTGTCCCATGTAGTATGTGAATTCAAAGAGGTTACGAAATTGAATGACTGTGAATGTTTTGTTAGCTAGGTCCTGTAGCATATGAACAAGAGCATTTGGGTGTTGGTCTATAGCCATGTCAAAGCCCATCTGACTTGTCTGAATGACTTCTAAACTTCCAGGCTCATAGTAATGGAGGTGGGAGGAACATTTAATAGCAAATCCTTGGAGCTTAAGGTTCTTCAGGGGTTGAAAATCTTTTTTTTTTAGGCCCATCACCAAAGGGCCGCCCATGGAGAGAACCTGGAGTCTGGAAAGTTTGGAGAAGCAGTCAGCCAAAGTTGCATTTATATAAAGGTTATTAGACATGTAGAGCTCTTTTAGAATAACGAGAGGTGTCAGAGCTCTGGCAGGAATTTCCTGCAGGGAGTTATTGAAGATGTCAAGATACTCCAAGAGTGTGTTGTTTCTGAAGGCATCATTGTCAATGTATGAAATGTTATTGTACTGAAGCTTGAGGATACGAAGCTTAGGGAGGTGGAAAAGGTCATCAGCATAAACAGCTTGAAGTTCATTATAGGAGAGGTCTATTTCTTCAAGTGTGGGTGGAAATTGTCTCCATGGGATACTGTCAAGCTGTCTTCCCAGACAATCTGCAGATCGGTCAGAGTTGTAGATCTGACAGGGTCTTTCCTCAGTGTTGGTAGTGGGGAGTGAAGATGGAGTTGGGAGTGTGAGAGCTCCAAGAAAGACACCACTGAAATGGATCAACTTCCAAATCATTGTTTTAGACCTGGAAATGAACAAGATCAGGCAAGATTATCAAAACATTTTATTGATTTTCATAGACAGTAAATGCCAGATACACGTAATAGTTTGATTAACATTTCATTAAACATTAACATTAATGCTCATTCAGATTTTATTCTGTGTTTGAGTGCTCTTTTAGGCTCCCTGCTTTCCCTCAATCCCCTTTCCTGTATTTCTTAGACTTCTTCTGTACTTTAAAAAAAAAAATCTATTTCATGGCTTCAGATCTCTTTGCAATTTTCCTTGTGTTCACTTAACTGAATTGAGGGCATAAAAAATCCAAGTAAACTGAATCCAAAAATTTTAGATGTGATTGAGTAGTAAGCATAACTAACAGACAGACGGACAGACATACAGACACACAAACACAAACACAAACACAAACACACACACACACACACACACACACACACACACACACACACACACACACACACATATCTTAATGAGGAGATCTAATTGACATAATGTGTTCCCTAGTCACTTAAGCTAACCCTTAACATCAAAAATGAATGCATAGCCCTAACCCTTAGCCTAAACCATAAACCCTAACCATAACGTAATTGTAACCTTGACACTAAAACCAAATTTTTAACCCTCAAAAATGCCGTCAAACTCGTGGGGACAACCGTTTCTCCCCATAAGTGACTGTTGGTCCCGACAAGTACAGTGGCATGCCAATTTTTCTGTCCTCACAAAGACGTCTAAACATTTACACACACGCATGCAAGTATATAAATCAGAGAAAAATGTGTACTTTTGAAATTGCATTATCAATGTTGGGCAAAATTGTGACACGTAACAGTACACCACTTCTACAAAACAGTAAACAAAACCAATGTTTAATTCCTGTAAGATGCATGAACGCAACACTTTTTTCTGATATATTTAATTTCATAATTTCCTGTTGGGTTAAAACTGTGTCTGGCAGTCACTGATTTCTAGCTTCTTTTCAGGTTAAGTTGACCTAGAAACCGCACACATCACCGCATTTATTGAATGCACTCAGGCAGCAAACCTGCATTTAAAAAGACATTAGTTTCATCCATTTACAATATACATTTCCACTGGTCCCTCAGTAAACATCAACAACGGCAACTTTGTCATTACACAGCACTTACCCTGTGAAGTCTACCTTTCTGCTAAGGGCTGGTAATGCAGACACTTTCAAATTCTCCTCCCCTTTTATAGTAGTAGCTCAAGGTTACACATTGTTTGTGCCCTTACGTGAAAGCTTTATAACGCTCATAAAACAATGTTGTTTTATCTATTCCAGAATTGATGTGAGCCGAATAAACAATTCTGCATGGATATGGCTAGAGTAGAAAAACATTGTTGCCCTGTTTATTTTAGATAATTGTAGGTCATTATACTGTATTAGAGCACTGTCTGTTCATTTGTGACAGTCTGGATAGGAAAAAAAAATATATATCATCATCCTGTCAAACATAATTTTTGTTTAATTCATTGACTCAGCTACATCTAACAGATTGATGGTGCATGATAAACTGATGCGTTAATTTCTGAATTATATTTCTGGCAGAAACATAAATAAAAAATACAAATACATGATTTATCCACAAATATATTCATTGGGGAAATGTAATTTCTCATAACATTCCACTGACATTTGAGTCAGTTACTCATCATTTCTAATTATTCATGTGAATGAGTGAATTAACGTATTGTTCTAGGGGAAAAAGTGTCACATGACAGATGAGTTCTTTGAATCAATATCTGTGTTTGTTACTTTGGCAATCTTCTTCCTTATTTGTCAGTTAAACATTGTATGGGAAGTAACACAACAGTAATACTGTTTAGCTATATGACTTGGGCCTCAGTGGACAGCTGTTCCTGGAAATTGACAGTAGATTAGAAAAACATCAATAACATTTACTTAGTAAGACACGTCACATAAAGGCACTGTGGTACTTTGCATTATCAATATTATACTAATATTATAACAATGCTAATTTTGTCTTAAATGATTTGAAATGCAATTATATTTCAAGCCACGAGACAATGTTTTCATTTTCCATTTATTTTGGTCATTTTAGTGCCAAGTTCAAGTTTAACCCCAAGTTGGCACCAAGTCTTTCAGATCATTTGCCAGATATCACTAAAAGAATATTGATAGTGTTAACATTTTCATTTCAATTTTGATCTTAATAGTGTTAAATTGTGAAATACAATTTTTACTTTAAGTGGACATGGTTAAAGAATACCCATTCATGGTATGTGAACATGAAAGACCTGCCTGTTGCAGGACTATTAATAGGTAACTGTTTAACCCTGCACGGCACCGCAGACCACGCCACACCACACGGACCATGCAAGATCTTTCTTTGATCCCATGTGTTGTCTTGTGATAACTCCATCAGGGTTCAGAAGCACCTATCTGCATTCCTCTTGCTTTTTCTCTTTACATTTATATTTTGGTTTGTAGGCCTGCCTGTGTGATACATAAGTGGTGAATAGTAATGCTAAAATGTGAAAACAATGCTAATCCAGACAAAACATAAACTCATGTCATTCACCAGCTGCTCTTGTATATAATGGAGCAAAAACAAATTTTGACTGTACATGCAATTTAGTTTAGTTTAGTTACACTGGCCATACTTTATATTGATTGCCTAGATGCAGATATAGAACACAGCAGCAGAAGTCATGAGTAGATCTGATGAATCATTTCTATTGCTTATTGTAAGTTGACCTTTCAAGTTGTGGGACTGATGTTTTGTTGGTGGCAAAAATTTCATTTACACATAGCAGCAATTTAAGTCTGATTGTTACCAAATATAATCTGGGTGGTGTGACTGTGTGCCAAGCATTAAGTTAAGAATTGCCCTTCCTCAGATTACTCATCCGGATACAGATCAGTGCACCAGTTGTAAAAGGGGATAAGTTTGCAAAAACATTAGAGTAGTCAGCAACTCCCACAGTGTAGTCTCAGATAGCTTTATCTTGTGGTTGTTAGGCATAAATCTAAACAACAACAGGTCGTTTTGCAGTCAATAGGATGGTTTAATCAAGTTTTTTTTTAATTAGAAAAACTTAAAGGTCAAGACTTTTTGATCTGCGTGACCTGTTGTACTGTGATCTTCACACATTGCTTTGCATCATTTTCTCCCTCACAAACCTGATAAATTCACTGCTTCTTTAAGCATTTTCTTTTGGTTTCTGTCACTTCCGTAGCTATTCTGCTGTGTCCTACAGAACACTTCTGCTTTGTAAAGTTTTATTTTTTTTTTTACTGCTGTTGTGTTTTATTCAGCTTCCTTTGCTTTTTATTCAACATCTATTACATTTTGTGTGCCTTTGCAGCATTTTTCTTTTTGTTAGTGTTTCCTCAAGTTCCACTGCATTTGATCTCTCAGGGCCACCACAGAAAACTAAAACCTTTTACCTCAGGCAAATTCCTCATTAATGTTTCCAACAGAGGTAAGCCAAATTGCCACATTCCTGCAAACACTGAGAGCTTTTAAGTTATGTCTATCAGATTTTATATTAACCAGCAGGTTATGAGCTTCTGTGTTTAACTCCTCTTATGAACCGTACTTTTGTTCTCTGTGACCTCTTGCTGAATTTTTTGTGGTTCTCATGAATGTACAATTCCCACAAGAGAAATGTTTTCTGTTCTGCGGTGTACAGTCTTATCGGTGAAAGGAATCTGCACAAACATGTTGGCAAAGCTGCAGACTTCTCTGTTCAAATTTTTAGTATTATTTTCATTTGTTTAACAAAGTCATGTGGTGTGTCAAAATAGAGTTGTACGTAGTGCAGTCAAAACACCTACACATAATCTCTTTTGTGTACACAGTATACTATACAAAATCTTTTCAGAGTTAATTATTCTCCCCAGGCTGGCTCACTGCCAAATTCATATAAGACAAGCTGGAATCTCCCCAAGCAGAAAAAAAAGAAAGATAATTTGTTATCACCGTTTGTGTCACGTTTAAATTTTACAACTATGACACTGTTTGCATTCTAACTATGACCAAGTGGAAGTGCTCAAATTATCATGGATAACCAAATAAGAAATAAGATGAGTGAATGCTTTTTTCTTTTTTTTTCTTTGCTTTTGCTCCATAATTGCTGATAGAGGACACCATGTAGCTGCACTGGCTCATCCGGTATCTAAAACAGGTAACAACAGATAAGAGCATAACAAGGACAAGGTTTCCATTTGTTGTTACAAGAAGAGCAAAATTTGAATGGTCTACTTTTTAAAAGATCTTTTGGAAAAGACTAGGATCCAATTGTGTACAGTAATTGAAAGGAGAAATGAGGTTAGTATAAAACTCCTGGAAGAATAAAACCAACAGAAAATACACAAAGATGTGCTCACAACACGCCAAACAACTCTATTTAGGACTTGATTGATGATATAGAGGGCCTCACATCAGATGGTTGCTTCAGTGGGGTAAATAAATTTCTGATTATTAAGGTTGAGAAGCAGATCAGATAACACATATATATATATAGAGATAGATATATATATAAATATCAACAAGTCAGTCTTCTCCTGGTAATATATAATTTCTACAATACAATGTAAGTTTTTGACAAGGGTAGCTATGCACTAAATTAGTAACCAGGTTGTGAAAGACACAGCAAACAGTTCTATCATTCATTAAGTTGCGATATCTCTCTGATATGCATGGAAAGCGTCATCCAGTAAGTGTAAAGATCTATTACTGCATCTGATATTTACCCAGCAGTCAATAGTTGGTGGCAAACAGTTCTTTCATTGACATGTGTTGGCAGTGCTGGGCCCACTGCCCTGATATGACAAATGTATCTGGCAGCAGACTTTTTTCACTGATGAGTGTTCTTTACTCTGGTTTAATGAGGCTGTTTACATGCTATGCACAAACACAGCTGCACTTGGTTGATGATTCTGTTTAAGTTATCATGTTCATCCTCCGCAGGGACAGATGCTACACATGTTTATGCGCACAGGTTGTTTTTCTATCATATATCAAAAGTTCTTTACCAGCACTGTTGCTGTATAGACAAAGAGCAGTAAGATAAATACAGTAAATGAAATTAAGTTGCTGTTATCTAAACTATCATGAAAAGCACTTGCTTATCGTCTTCTCGCTTTGACTCTGACAGTTACTTTTTTAAAGAAACCGCTTGCTGTGAAAGTTGTTTTCAAGAATCACGACTTTCCTGTAAGAATTTCCAATAAAAGCTTTCTACCATAAGGGAGACAGATAGGAAAACTTGAACAAATACCAGCAAAAACAGCTTACTAACTAGACACTTCTAGAGGGAGAAATGCCAAAGAAGGGTGAGCTGAAGAACTAAATCACAAATTATACAAACAGTGAAAAACATCCAATCCATTAACAGATGACTGGGTATAAAAATGGCAGGAATGATTCTTTCAGAAGGGAAATGTCAAGTTAAATCACAAAGCCTTTGTATATTCCCATCAGCATCCCTCAAACTAGGAAAAGAAAAGTAATAACAACAATTATTCAAACTTAATACAGCTTTGTTACAACAGACAGTTAGATTTAGAAGAACAGAAAAAGCATTCTAGTAAATGTTAAATATTTGATAGTCACAATTTGATAGAAGTAACACCTGTGCTTGATGAGACAAATTCTTTCTATTACCACACGACAAGTAAAGAAAAGAAAGAGTGTGATACTATATTGGGGCGTTAGAGCAAAACAGAACAAAAGTATTCTGGAGAGTCTTGAATAATTACTAAATCATTACAGTCTGCTCTGTTCAAATCAATACTCTGGTCAGGAAAGCATTAAAGAAAACAATACGAACTTTAAATTCTGCTTCCGTGTTTCACTGCTAGTGCTCTCCAGTTGCACATGCTCGCTCAATGTTGTGGTAAAATACTACATTCAAGTGGAACATAACAATTGCAGATGTTATTAGTCACACCCAACAAATCAAAGCATCCACCACGTAAAAGCTCTATTAAACAGGATAGTGTGGGTAGATTTGTGTTTTGTTTAAGTGCTTTGGTTTCAGGCATTTTAAGGAGGAGTTTACAAACAAAGAGCAAGAGGGATTTAAAATGAATTCTGTCTTATTGCAAAACCCAAAAGGAAAAACTACTCAGCAAAGAGAAATGTGTGCTGTCTCAGTGGCACTTGACTCCACCTATAAGCCCTTGTTTTGTGTCCTATTAATGCTGCCAGAGAATGAGTAATCAATGAATGGTCATATTCAGTGACTGACTAAAACCAGGCACTGAATATGACATGAAACATATGAAAAAAATATCAAAGTAATGTCACTAACTAGCAAAGGACTGATGAAAATCTTATTATTTACTAAAGAAGCTTCCTTTTAACTGAAGTAGCCCTAGAGTGATCCAGCACTCTGGGGATTCAGGGGTTCACTTTAGTTCATTGAGCAGCCTCCATTGTTGCTTTCTAAAGCCATAAATGTGTGTATATGTATGTGTGTGACAACAACACACAAGCACAGAAGGCTGCTTTGTAGTAAATGTTCCCTGTTGAGAAACATGATAATTGTGTTCTTGTCAAACATCTTGATCATATCTTTATATAAGTCATAAAATATGCAATAACATTTTAGATATTGCCATGAAAATTGACATTAATTATAAAGATAAAATAGTAGCTATGTGATAATTTTACTTTCCCCCATAGAGATAAAATCTGATTACAATGAAAAACTAATTAGATACAGTGGGAAAAGGGAGGCAGCTGCAGTAGGGCAGAGCTGCAGCACTCACATGTACTGCATTCATCGTCTCTAAGCCTCTGCAGTATCAGTGGGCACAGGTCCACTACTGCATCAACTATTATATCTGCTCAGGATGAGCTTCTCTGGACATCTTCTCAGTTAAAAGATAAGAAGATTAACTGGGTTGGCTTCTGAGCATTCAGCATTACAGTTAAATAATAACCGAAGGTTCAACATAAGTTGAAGCATTAAAGAACTAAAATAAATCACACAGGGAAAAGTAAAACTGTTTGAAAAACATTTAAGAGGGCAGAGCAGCAGGAGACATCCAGTGAGTTCAGTATACAAACAAATCCCTGAATAATCACCACATCCTGGACACTCCTTCTACTTTCTCTAAATATACCTTAAAACCTGTAATCTCAAAATGACTAAGCCGCTCAGATCTTTAAAGAAGACTTTACATACACCATCAGGCAGGCAACATAGACACCAGCAGCTGTTCAAATCTCCCCAATGTTAGCTTATTTACCACTGGGGCTTCACAGGTGCCAGCAATTAAGGAGGCTGCTTGCCTTAGGAGTGTCTCTAAGCATACAGTAAACCTGAAATCTTTATCTTTTTATAATTATCAACACAACTCATTAAAAGATGAAAACCGGATATAAGCAGAGATACTCCAAGCCATCTTACCTGTAGCCTGTGTAGTGAAAGCTGAAATAGTGAATGCCTCCAGGCCAACATACTCAAGATGTCTCAAAAACTTAATTTTCATTGTGATGAACAATTGTTCCACCCAAGAAAGTCATATTTTAATGCTATTTTGTGATTTAAATATCCTATTTGTTACAAAACAAGATGCTCTGTGTTATATCACTTCCTTCCTAACACAAGAGCTTATACACCTTTCATAGCACTGAAATACCTTTTTCATTCCTTTATAACACAGCTGAGGTATTGGAAAGAGGGATTTTCAGTATTTTTCTATGCTCAGTGAATAACTGGATAAATACATCTCTTTAGGATCTTTAGCCATGCTACCAGCTGTGTGAGGCTGTACATAAAAACAATAGAGGAAGTGAAAAATGCACACCTTCCTGCTTTCCTATACTAAGGAAACCTTAAGCAATGCAACCTTTAAAAAGGAAAGAAAACTCAGTTTCCAACTCCAGCATGTCGGTCTGGGTGAACAACCTGTCACATGACTTAAACAGGCTCTTCCACACTTATCTTATTCATAATGTGGTTTAAAACAATGAACATTACAGCAAACACATGGATTTTCCTGTTTGAATGCAGCTAGCCATCAAACATTAGAGCCAATTATTGCTTGACATAAAACTTATTGTTGCAGCCAGGGGCAGCCCAAAAGTGATCCCTTTAGACTGGTTTTTGGTTTTAGTGTCCTGATTTTCCTCAGAGTTATCCATTCTGTCACTAGCTAGCAAACATAAACATACGGACAGAAGATGGCACTAAACATGTTTAAAAACTTGTTTAAACGTGTTTAAAAAATTCACAGACAGTGTTACATCTATGTCAGTTTTTGAGAGGTGTGATGTAGTGTTTCATTTCCTCTTTAACCCCCATTTATCCAGGGAAGCTACTGCATGACCACTGGAAGAGATTGTTTTTGTTAGTTAGTTATTTTTGTTTGATTTATTTATTTATTTTTTGTAGTGGACAACTACAGCTGTGTCTGGGCTCAAATATTTAAGCCAAGATAGAGTCAATATGTCAAACGACCTACAAAATGTTACTACTGGGCATTGAAACCTGCCACTTTTCCCACTTCCTGTCTAACTGGTGTACTGTTAAATGATAAGTATGGAACGCTATTTTGGCTGGAACACTGTATTGAATTAGAATTACTATCAAGTAGAGGAAGTCCATCAAGTTAACATTTTCCACCCCTTAGATCAACTAGTGAATTTTATGTGCCTCCACAATAAACTACATCTCTTTAGGATCTTGAGCCATGCTACCATTCTAATATATTCTAATTCAAATATAGCAATTAGAATTGTTATTCAACATTTAGAATGTGCTGAAAGATTGGAACTACAAGTGATCCAGGTAGATAGTTTTAAATGTTAAGAGACAAAACAAGCTTGAAATAGACATGAAAACAATATGTTTACACTCACCTCATGTTGGACAGGCTCAGGTCTTCCTTAGCTGGACCTGTTCTGTTGTCAGTGCTTAGTGAGAAGTGACTCACCACTGGATCAGTAAGCTTATGGGCACTCTGTTAGCTCTGCTAGTCTGTATGTGTTTTTGGCCCTCCCTCTCTGTCTGATTCTTTTTCTCTCTCACTCACTCTTCAGTCTTTGTGCATGAGCACGTGTGTGTGTGTGTGTGTGTGTGTGTGTCGCTCAGGAATGTGGAAAGTAGTTTTTTTTTGCCTCAGAGGCTCCACATATTTTTAATCATGTTTGCTATTCTGTAACACAAACATTAGAGCCAGAACTGTTGGGAAATATCAGTTCCATCATAGCCATTACTCTGGTCATGCACATACATTTGATTTTATCAAATGTATTTATCTGCCGGTGGTACATACCGTGCAGGGGCCTGTCCTTCCATGATGGTTCCTTGCCTTCCTCCACTTTTTTGGGTTTCTGCTGCCTGAGGTATTCACTGAGCACGCTGTCAGTTAAAGGAGGAATCCATGCAGTGAAGAATGAACAGTGAGGATTGAGCAAGTGAGCAGGCTGGCAATATCACCTGAGAGGAAGAAGAGTGGGGTTGTAATTCCAGGGAGAGTTATTTTCTTTTCCAGTGGTAAACGATCCAGAGATGGTAAGAGATAGCTGGGCAGAGACCGACTGACTAACACAATGAGTAATAATAAAACAAGTGCTAACTCAATCACTAAGCATGGAAGATTTTTACCACAAATATGGCAGCAGTGGTGAAAAATGGATGCTATGACAAATCCTTAAATACACTGCAAACTAGTGAGCTGGGTAGCAGGTGCACCTGTTAGAAACCTTGCTGAGACTGGTATGCAGCCACACCTTCCAGGGATCTAGGAAGGTGGTAAGAACCTGCTTACTAAAAATCAGTGGAAAGAAGAATAGAGAAGGAAAAGAGAGAAAAAGGTGGACCTCAGAAGGACTGCAGACCATGGCAGACTTATGTTTTATTTAATGGCTATTTGTGGCTATTAATGACTATTGGTTTTCCTTGTTTTATGAAATTAGAGCGTTTTATGAAAATAGGTTGTCGATGGAGAAAGATTTGCATAGCGAATTCATATTCAAGATTCTTGATGATAGTGTCTCTTTGTTCTCAAGTGGAAAGTTGAAAACAAATTGACCTGTGGGAAAAAAAAAGTCCCCTTTTAGCTGTGGAAGATCTCAAGTGGTTTATATTCATTTTAAAAAGAAGACCGAAGCATGAGCCAAATTATTGCTAAAATCAAAGGTGTGCCCTTAAGGCTGCCTTAAAGGGTTTTCAGTTGAGGAGACATATGCTCATTTTACTGCACACTTAGGCCCATTATCTTTTATTATTTCACATAGCTAAGCAAGAAAAATAACTTCAGGTCAAAGGGGTTCTGCAAAGCTTTACTCCAGCATAGGCATAGACATTATTACAAAGAATTCACCAGGGAATTCCTACAAAATTTGATGGCAATCCATCCAGTAATTGCTGAGATTCACAAAGGAAATGCCACAGTGGAAAGTTAGATAATCAAAGTCAACACCATAATTCCTCCGTGGAAGATAAATGTCTGTACACAATTTTATTGCAGTCCATCCAACATTATTTCTCTCTGGATTACAATAATGAGCTGATTGATCAGCTGATTGATGATGAGTCCTTCTTGAGCCATTCTGCTGCAGGTGTGACTTAATGTGGCACAGCTGGTTTGACAGTATTGTGTTTGGTATTAAAGCTACTTTAAAGGTATTTCCAGTAGATGCCATTTATTATGCTTTTTTAATAGCTTTGTTCATTTACTGTGCTTCCTCTCCTTTTACAAGGTCACTGCTGTATGCTGACTCATTTGCTTTCATTGTAATACCTTCTGTTTTATGGTATGACTCAGACATTGCAGACATTTTCCAGAGGTTTCAGTGAGACTGATTCAGCCCTGCTTTTGCTCTCATCATACACTACCAACTGTAGTACTGTCTGCCTGTTCAGCTCACTGAGGCTGTGCTTAGTCACAGGTTTTCTGAGCCTTTTGTGAGTTTAATGGTTTGAAGTCTGTGATGATGCACATTCCAAAAGTAATCTGGATTTGTTTGTAATGGAAAGCTCAGCTTCTCTACTGACCTAATTTTTGTTTTATAGTTAGTTTTGGCCATGGGAGGGAGTTTACTGCTTATAAAAACCTTAATTTTGCCTTTATGTACATGCTTTAGTTAGACTTACTGTTCCTTAATGATTGCAGTCTATTAGAGAATGCAGCGTTGGAGACAATTCATCGGTGGCCTTCAGTGAGAAACCTTCGGTGAACATTTTATTTTCATCTTTCAGCACTAGACATTAATTTTTTTATCCCCTTTCCCCTCTAATATTTGTAGTAGTTCAAATATGGAGTTGAAAGCTGTATAGTAATTTAAAAGTTATATATAATTACATGTACATTTATTTTTCATAAGTCAGACTCAGAGGTCTTGAAAATTAACAATGAAACGTCATTATTTATGTGTGCCTATCATGCACATGCCAAGGTGTTAATGCAGCGCAACATCGCCTCACTGTTCATTGTTTGTTTACATAATGGCCCACTGTGATGAGGAAATGAAGTTATGAGAAATCAAAACAAAGCCTCTGTGCTCTTTTCCGTCAAATACTTTACTTCCTGACTCACCTAAATACCAGCCCACACAAACAATGAAGCACTTGAGGTTTTTATGGGAGAAATGACCTGTTTCATTGCTGATTACTGCCAACATCAGGTTTGACCTGCAGAACATTGTTTTGTTGATTTAAGGATTTTAGCTGAATGCTTTGAAGGTACATGGAAGCAACCTAATAAAATTAAACGGCATGGAAACAAAAAACAAAGAAGGAAATAAATACTATAGACTGGTTTTATGAATCCTTTAGGGCTGTAAAGCCTTTGTAATACTCTTGTCAATATGCCAAATATTGGGCAACAGATGACAAAACCTGCTTGTCTTGACAGGCAAATCCAAATGAGTGGCAACCTCTTGTGAACTGTAAAATGTGGTGTAAACAACAAGTAGATTTTGAATGAACTTGAACAAAATGCAAAAATCTATCAAATAAATAGTAATGGTAGCGTAAAACAATTAAGACCTTTGTAAAAGAAATGTATAAAATATATGTAAAAATAATTATTATGCTTCCTACATCAATTATTTATATTTATACTTGTTGCTTTCGAATAAAAACAATACATCATTTATTCATACTTATATTTTATTAATGTTCACCACACATATTCAGGGAAACACATGTCAAATATGGATTTGTTACATGAATATCTATTGTACTATAGATATCATTTATTTAAAAATACATGTTATGAGATGACGTTATGCAGACTGGCATGGCACCAATATAAATCTCTTTTTTATATAATAGAGTTTGGCATGTTACTTTTAAAATTAGATATATTAAGACACAGAATCATGGGCACACATCATGTACAGTACAGTGTACTCAAAACCCCAGAGCAGACAAAACAGCGACCCGCCTCGCTCATTTACAGCAAACAGCATGATCTAACCAAAAATGGTTTCCTGACGCAAATCAAGTGCTTGATTTGAAGGATATTAGCCTTGATCAAACTGGCTCCAATGACAGTTATGAGTGTGAAATAACCTAATTTCAGCATTTGTATGAGCATCCATATTAAAGCAAGACCTAAAATAAACTGCAGATGTCGTCTCAAGATGCTATTTGGGTTTAAATGCTGTACTACCTTCATTGTGGATATTTGAATAAAGGAAGCCTGAAGAGGGGAATCAGCTCCATTGAACAACAAATCACTAACCATATTTAACACAGCGTAACAAGGTAATCACTCCTGCTAGGTAAGTGAACCCTGTGTCCCAAATCCATACAAAAGCAAAGTTGTGAGCAGTCTAGTATACTCTAGAAAAACTAAAGGCTGAGAATGAGAGACTTAACAACCTCTCAGACTTGAACATAAAAGTGTGGTCAACAATCTCTTGACTTTTTTCTTTTTATCCTATTCTCAGATGCAATGATTATATATACTGAATTCCTATGTAGTCACAATTGTAGTCACCAGTCTATCAGAAGAAGTCATTGGTTAGGTAAGTAACTATTGTGAATGCATCTACTGCAGTACTGTATTTATTTTTGAGTTATTATGCTCGTTTAGAAACTGTTGTTACAATTTACCTAGCAAACTATGAGGAAAAATATCACTGCAGGATCAAAAGCTTGTATACAAGGTTTGCACCTGACTACAACAATACGAATAAAAGAAGAATACATTTAACAAAGTAGATTTTAACAGTAAAAGAGCTAGCAGTTACACATAAACCAGTCTTTACTAAGAAGATTAAAAAAATTTCATTCTCATAACGATTTTTCAGAAGTTTAATTTGACACTTTTCATCCACAACTTCCTCTGAAAATGATATCTGCCACCTTAGATCTTCACATTCATCTTAAAATTAACCACTTCTTCGCTCTCACAGTGACATGAACCATATGCCACGCTCTAGTAGCAATGTAATGCTACGTCAGTCTATGCTACTTGTAAAGGAAAGCAATTATCCATAAGGTAAGGTAAATTTGAGAATATAAACTGATTCTTAAGCATCAGAACAAATGACTAAAGCTTTTCTTTATCTGTTGCTTTCAGTAAGTAGATTGTATGGACAAGGGGCGCAGTGATGAAGCTTAAGATATCAGGATCATTTGGCTTGTTAGAACTGGACAGAATAGGCAATTCTTCTTAAAGTGTCCTGCAAAACAACTATCTGGATGAAATTACATCGACCCATACAGTACTTATTAGTCGAAATATAGATAAGGTTATCGAGGAAATTATTTTAACACATCTTTGTATGCCGAGTTAGTTTGATGCCAAAATTCTCTGGCAGGATAAAAGTTGTTAACAGCCTCTACTAACAGTTTACCAGGCTGGTGGCTGGTGTTATATTCCAAACCTGGTGTTAAAACAGAGACACAACTAATATGCATGTTAGACCTGCAGTATATCTGTGTATGTTGTTTGGCTGAGAGGAACACCGATGTTGTACATGTGCTCAGGGTTTGTCTGACA